ATTGGGTTCGCTTTTGTTGAGCCCTCAGGTGGTCACACTAATATGTGGCATTTTTTGACTTTTTCTGGATCCCACCTTACAATGCTTATAGCAAAAAGACCTTTCCTTTCTTGTGAGTATGCTGCTCATGCAGTCATTTTTGTTTTCCCTTTTAGGAGTTTCACTTTTAGTGACGGAAGGAGGGTCTTATGATGCAGATATTACTTCATCTTCCTCCAGAAGTTTCTGCTCAGATTCATCATGCAATATTCAACAAAGAGACCAACCCGCATTTACCGCTCCACTATTTAAAATACGTCAGTGCATCTTCATCCACTACAGGACACATCTGACCCATTTATTTCTTTCCAGGAATCTCTTATCCATAAACTCTACCCTCCAGCAACACTAAACTTTTTGGGTGACTGTGCACTTGTTATCCCATGCCTCCTCTGTTCCTCCCATTTTGTTGGCTCTGCAAGGATGCTTCATTGACACGTTTCTTTTTTCTCCTATCCTCTCAAAAGATGCTCAACATTTGGCTAGGTATTACCTAATGATCCAGTCTTTATAACCAGCTACAACCTCCCTTCATCTTTCTGCCCCCAAACAGGATCTGTGCCCTCCCCTGGCCTCTCTGGCCAGGCCTATCATTGCATGTTGTATTGTTACACTTTATCCTTTTGTATTATACCAGCTGTACTTCTGTCCCTTGCTTCCATTAGATGTTGACTCTTTGAAGCAGGAATTGTAATTTTTCTGTATTGGAGCACAATGCTCAGCATATAGTAGGGAAAGAATGCACAATGATTAAATGAATGAAAATTAACGGGCGCTAAGAGGTTTACTTACTCTGTGGATTTGGCTTATCACAGACCTTTGAATCCTTCCACCAGCAAAGGAAATAAGAATAAATAATATATTGTGGAATCTCTGTCCACTATATTATCACCATGATGGAGTGCCTGAAATAAGTAGAAGACATTTCTCGTGGGCAACCATATCAAATCCACTCCCCAATAAACAGAGACTATTAGAAGTAAAAACTTTCAAGGGAAAAAACTGATGCCAATCCCACACTTTCAGTAGCAGCATTTGGTCTGTGTGGTCTATGCTTTACTGTAATTTTTTCTCTCATAGCATTAAAAGTGTCCTGAAAATTAACTTAAATTTCTCTTCTTTCAGCCAATAGCCTTGAATGGGGGCAGGGGGAACATAGCAAATGAGAGGAAATTCAATTTTAAATATGGAAATAAAAAGAGTTTTAGCAAACAAATCAAGGGAGAGCTTTAATTTTTAAACGCAGTTGAACATCTTAAATTCAATAGATATGTTACTGCCAAACACTCTCTTTTAAAAGAAATGTCATCTAATTACATCTAACATTAAATATATCTTTTAATGTTCAGGGTAAATAAAATGCCACTGGTAATTACCATGAGAAGTTTTATGAATGTGGTTGGATTGCTTTCCGAATTTAATTAAGCTTTGGATTCTCATGTACTCTTCTCTCCTAATCAGTTGGAGCGTTCTGAAGCATATTTCAGGGAATCTCTTGGGCAGAAACACCTTCTAAGAAATCAATGTGGAGCAAAGGGTCCAGAAGTATTTCTGTTTTATTTCCCTTGAAAGATTTAACTGCACTTTTATCATATTTGTTTATTACATTTAATTTGAATGAGAGACATTCAAGAAAAATACCATTAAAATAATTTCCAAAGATAACACCCTTTATACAAAAGAAGAATTATAGATGCAGCAGCTAACAATTATTCATAAATGTTCGTGCTGCTAAGATGTTTTCTACAAGTGAATGGAAAAATGCAACTGGGTACAGAGTGGTTTTTAAAATAAAAAACAAGAAATTAAATTAAGTACAGCAGTGAGCAGAATAATGGCTCCCCAGAGATAGTCACGCCTGATTATAAGAACCCATGAATATGTTTTGTTACACGTCAAATTATGGAAGTAAGTTTGCAGATGGATTAAGATTGCTAATTAACAAAGTTTAGTATAAGGAGAGTATCTTTTATTGCTCAGGTGGGTCCAGTATACTTACAAGGATCCTTAAATGTTTTGGAAGAGGAAGAAAAAAGCAGAGTTAAAGAGAGATTTGAACGTTATGTTCCTAGCTTTGAAGATGGGGGAAGGAGCCCCCAGTCAAGGAATATAGGCAGCTTCCAGAAATTGGAGTAGGTAAGAAAATGGATTCTCCCCTAGAGCCTTCACAGAGGAGCAGAGGCATGCCAATATATTGATTTTAGACCAGTGAAACACCCACCCTATGGGACTGTAATACATTTGTGTTGTTTGGGGTTTTGAAGCAGCAGTCAAAAACTATTACAAGTACACTCCTACAATGTAACACTGCACAGTCATTAAAGTAACTTAAGAAGAATGCCTGATTATTTGGAAAATATTTATGGTATATAATTAGGTTATGATAAAATTCCACATATGGCAAAAAACAAACAGAAAAAATATGTATATACATTTTCAGATAAAAATCTGAAAGGTACACTATAAAATGTTTCTCATGGTTTTCTGTAGAAGCTGACATTTATTTCTTCCTTTATTTTTATTTTTTATCTTTATTTTCTTATACTTCCCAAGTTTATTTTGTAATCAGAAAAAAATAAACATTGAACATGATCGATGTTAAAACTGGAGATAGGTTACTTTATCAATAGCATTTTATGTCCTTTCAGAAACTTTTTTAAGAAAGAAGACCAGCTATAACTAATATAGTAAGCTTCTGTAGGTTAATTTGTGTTCAATTTATTTCACTAAATTTCTGCATCCCAAACATACTTCAAAAGATATGATACTACCTACCTACTTTACTTTTGAATTTTTTTCTAAGAACTACATCTTAAAACGTGGGCCACATAAAATTAGAAAATATTTTTGCCACGGAAAGTTTAATCTTTGAATGATATTTGTGTTTCTGCTCTCAGGATTAATGACAACAGCGGGATAGCACCTGTATAGTGTCTGGGGCACAAACCTCAGGTGAATGAATTTCTCTTTATGGGTTCAACTGGATAATCCCTTTTACTTTTCCTTACAGAATTCAATACTGGCACCCATTGATAAAAAGTAAAGCCTTTCTCTTTCATGTACTTGATTTTCATTAATGGTGGGTTTTATGGTGGCTTTTAATGTTTGTAAATTAAAGGAAACTAAATCTTATATAGCAGAATATTTAGTCAAATAATTTGATAAGTCACATGCATTTTAAATAAATAACTATGTTTATCTGTACATATAAAACTCTAAAATTTAGTATAAAAGCTTGTTTCTAAGATGTAGTGTAAAATGATTTAGTAACTGTGAAGGAGCAGATGACAGTGACCAACAGGGTGGGCTCTGTCATCAGGTGTGTCTGAGTTCAAAGGATGGCTTTGGCTCTCACTGTTTTTGTGCTCTTGATTACTCATTTCCTCTTTTGGAGAAGACTTTGTAAAATGGAGAGAGACTATATTTATCTCAGGTTATTGTGAGAAGTTAATGAAGCTAAATGCATTTCCTTGTGTAAATAATCATTAAATAATGGATATTATATCTTAAAGTCCTTCTTACTAAGTATTGTTATTTGTACTATACAATTTAAGATTCAGTGACTGTTGGTGTTTATATGTGCTATGGTTATTTCAAAGCATTTTTTTATAAGTATGATCAAGTAATACATATGTGACAAGAAATTGGTGTTGTATGGAAAGCTGACTGGCAGAAATGACAGAAGCTTCCACTTGATCTCTGTGTTTATTATAGTTTCCTAATTTTTTGTCACCTCATTTGAATTAGAGTATCAACCCTTCACTCAGTTTCTCCAAAATGCTTTGTAAAGAAACATGATCTCTTTATTCTGCTGTGACATAGGGTAAAAAAGACCAGGCTATTTTTCAGATACAAGTAGAGAAAAATGGACTTCATTTTGACCTTGGTATTCTCCCAGGAATGATGGGAGTCCCAATATACTCATTTTTTTGAACAAATACACAGAACGCAGAAGATTTGGGGTATTTTGTCCTTGGAGAGTGGGTGTGGGAGTTATGATTGAAGATGAAAATGAAATAAAAACAAGAGCATCTTTTTGGAACTTACCTTCACTGCTCCATTTGCTTAATAACCAATTAAGAATTTTTGACGTACATGCTAAATTCAAGCCTGAGTGTTAATTTGCAAAATAGAAACCCTGTCCAAGCCTTTAGATATTAGTACAGCAAAAGCCAAAGTATAAAACATGCACTTAAAACAAGCATATGCTTCATCCAAGATGTTAGGAAGAACAGAAAAAAAAAAAAACAGGTTACTCCTGAACAAAAAAACAAGTAATAAAATATTCAAAAATATTCTCTAATCAGATTTGAATAATCAAATGAAATAGTCTTGGTTTGCTAATTTCCTTACCCCTTCTTAGAATAAATTCTTTATTAGACTGAATGTTGAGACCCTAGGGGATCTTAGGATATTCTTGGGAAATAAGTTTGAGGCCGGGCACAGTGGCTCACACCTGTAATCCCAGCACTTTGGGAGACCTACACAGGCGGATCACGAGGTCAGGAGATTGAGACCATCCTGGCTTACACGGTGAAATCCCGACTCTATTAAAAATACAAAAAAATTAACCAGACATGATGGGAGGTGACTGTAGTCCCAGGTACTCAGAAGGCTGAGGCAGGAGTATCACTTGAACCAGGAGGCAGAGGTTGCCTGCAGTAAGCTGAGATTGAACCACTGCACTCCAACCTGGGCGATAGAGCAAGACTCTGTCTCAAAAAAANAAAAAAAAAAAAAAGAAAAACAAAAAGAAAAAGTGTTAAATGTAGGTAGAAAATTGCATTTTCGATTTTAAAAGCAAATGGCTAAAAATTAAGCATTATATCCTTCAGAAAGTTTATAAGGTTTGACAATCATTGTTTTAACACAGAAATCTGTTTATTAAACCAAACGAAACAGAGAAAATTATACCAGCCCTCAATTTTTGAATTTTCATTTAAATAAGCAAACTCTAAATCCACATCTTAAAGATGTTTATGCATCTATGTATTTCCAAAATACTCAGATTTCAATAAGATTTTCACATTATATTCACCAACAGTATCACAAAAGTTTTTTTTGTGTTTGTTTTTTGTTTACATAACTGTAAGGAACAGTAATTCTAGAAACACTAGAAGAAAAAAGCATAGCAATGTCCACAGTTACAAGAAAAAGTGCACATTACTCGGTCACAATCACAGTCATTACTTGAAAAACTATATGTAACAAGTAGATGAGAAATATCACCGATGTCTCAAACTCTTTGTCAAAAACTGAATGACATAAATTTTACATGAAATAAGGCAAATTCAGGAATGCACAAAGAATTTGTAATCCAACCAAAGCTAAACAACAGAAAAAAGTTGTACAAGAAGCATGAACTAAAGTACTTCTCCCTAAATATTTTAAAAATAAGCTTGCCTTAGTGCACAAAGAAAACACCACTCATGTGTATCCCACACTATAAAGTAAGAAAGAAGGGCAAAGTATGGGGAATAGGAGGGCACAGTTCATTGTAAGTTGCAGCTGCATCCGCTGAGAGTTCTTTACATTATTTTTAGCTAGAAGTGAAAATTATACAAATCATATCAGGAGATGTAATGGTCTTTTTTGGAAACTATTTCTGAAAGAGAGAAATGTAAAGAAAACTACACACAAGAGTGCAAATTTTCAGATTGTCACTTGCAACCTCTTAACATTCAGTCATCTACATCCAGTTGCTGCTAGAGGGATGCCTGGATACAGCAGCGGCAATCAGGAACGAGCAGCTCTAAGAAACCAAGGTGTGATTTTTTTTCAATAACATGTCTTTTTTTAATATTTTAAAAAAATTCTGGGATGAAAACTGCTATAGTAAAGTTGCAGTGTTGAGTGGGGTTTTTGAGATCAGCATGAGTGCAGAAATGCAGGCTTCTCTTGGAAGTAGTTCCTGATGTGACGATTTAAAGAACGTAGGCAAGGGTTTTTCCAGCATCAAGTGTTATTTTTGTAGAAAGAGTTTGGAAAGAGGAGAAGGCAAAGGGATGTGGAAAAGGTACTTACAGTAGTTTCTCAAAACAGTTTTCTTTTAGGACCTATGAAAAAGTTACCAAAGTAAAAATGACAATTTTGAATGAAAAACAAGTTTTCTTTTTATAAAAATTACATATTTTTTTTTAAAATACAAGATCCCTTTCATTGTTGTTATATCCTGTAGCAACAAGAAATTTGGCTTGTTTTGTTTTGTTTTGTTTTTTGCCAGGTACTTCAGCTTTCAGTTCAATGAGTCAGTAGCAAATTCCACTAATATTTCAGTTGGATCTTGAACTATTGTTTTATACCACAAGCTTCTTCTGTTTTATCCTTGAATTAAGGATAGATAGCCTTTTATGCCCCTGATATTTATGCTGACACACTACGACAAAAAGCAATAGGCTGGACATATTAAAGTATCTCAAGTACTTCAGAGGTCAGAGTTCCTTTGAAGCACCTTAACATATCACTTTATGGATCAAGGACAATGTGGCATAATGGAAGTATTTCTCTTAAAAGACTGTGCAGTAAGATCAGAAGTATCTCTGTTGGGAAATCAAGATGTCATTAGTGGAAACTGCAAATTTAGACCTCAGTGAATATGGTTGTCATCTGATTCAGTTCTGTTGTAAAATAAGATTTTCCAGTTCATCTGCAGATCGCAATAAAAATGCAGCAGATTCTCGATATCCTGCAACAAGCTGTCTCACAGCATTGATTTCAGTTGGACTCAGCTGGGGTCTGGAGTTAGAGCTGCTGGAGGATCCTGAGCTAGTCGCCAACTGCCTCTTCATGCTGAGATCAGTGGGTCCTAGAAAGAAAATCATCACAAAATTAGACCCAAATATTATTTGTTGTAGTATCTTGGATGTGAGCGCTCAATAAATTATAGTTGAATGAATTCATGAATTCTTCCATGAGACATTGGTAATCTCCTTAATCAAATACTGCTTTCAGAAAGATTAAAGAGCAATGTAATCGTAACCAAGTGGCTTCTCTTTGGACTTCTCTCAGATGCCCAAATCAGCCTCTGGAAATCACATCTTACTGTGGAGAAATGGTGAAAAATTGCTTGGAACATGTGTTTTTGGAAAATTAAATTTTAAATTTGCCTTGCATATGTTGTGTAAGCTTCTCATAGCAGCATAAAATGATGGAAATTACAAACATTTTTCACTTGTTACATTCATTAATAGGTATCTTAGACCCCATCAATTTGCAATTTAAAACAGCTGTGATGCTAATGACTTTAGAGTACAAACTAGTCAGCTCAGCAAAAAGGAAACTAAGGACTAGGGACTTCAGGAATATGTTTAGAGTTTGACAACTTTTGAAAGGCACAACAAGGACTTGACTTAGGTATTTTTTTTTTCTTTTCAGGCAGATGTTGTTTACCATGTTGATTAGTATTAAAAGTGTTGACATATTACATTGGAATTTGCTTTAGAAGTGCGATATGTAAGTGATTACTGTAAACAATACCGAAGATAACCTAGACATTTGGGATACTGACTTAAGTGTTGTGAATGTCGTCTCCGTATTTATTTACACAAAACACTTTCATGTGCTGAAAACTTTTTTCTTACATATTTAAGCCATCTGGTGGGTATGCTTTTTGACAACATTTTGTAAATTTTTACTTTAAAATTATTTATAAAGTTATTTAAAATATTTCATTTAGTCATTTGTGTTGAGAAGATTCTTCATTCAATTATTCTTTGATTATAAGCGTTCACTTTTATAGTTCTTACCTGACATTAAGCATTTAAAGTAATTATTACATTTGTCATGAGCAAACTTAAATCCTTGAATAAAATAGTACTAAGCACATAACTCAACATGTTCTCCAAAACTGTAGTGATTCTATAACTTGAAAATGTTTTAACAGAATTCTCCTAAACATGTGTAAATTTTCAGATAATGGTATTTATTTTGTGAACTAAAACAAGAGATGTTATTTTATCCTTTTGGTTCTCCTTGAAGCATGGTGGAGATAGGTCAAGGCCCAACCCCTTCCACCCTCTACCTCTACAAAGGGGACAGATATCCCATGAGAGGGAAATAGCTTCACTTGGAATTTAATTAGAGCAGAGACAAGACTAGCACACAAGAACTCTGACATCTGAGAGAAAAGTATTCCCACTTCTGTAGTGGCCTTTCAAAGCTTTGATTTTTCCAGCAGGACTTAGCTTCCATTTGTTCTGATACTTACAAAATCATGAGACTGACATGACAAGCTGAAACAGAGATGTGTGATGTCACACTTGCAAACAGAAGTTATGGAACCTGTGTTCAAGCAAATCATTAACATCATTGAATTTATTTGGAAAGTTCTGAGTGGATTAAAAAGGCATTATAACAGGGGTACTGGTCTTGAGATGAACCCACTTGAAGTTTTTTCTTTTTCTTTTTTGAGACAGGGTTTCACTCTGTTGCCCAGACTGGAATGCAGTGCCTTGATCTTGGCTCACTGCAACCTCCACCTCCTGGGTTCAAGTAATTCTCCTGCCTCTGCCTCCCAAGTAACTGATATTACAGGCACTTGCTACCATGCCCTGCTAATTTTTGTATATTTCAGTATGGATGGGCTTTCATTGTGTTGGGCAGGCTGGTGCTGCACTTCTGACCTTATGATCTCCCGTGTTGGCCTCCTGAACTGCTAGGATTACAGACGTGAACCACCACACCTGGCCTGTTTTTCTTTATATTCAAGAAGCCCAGTACCAGGACAGATCTTTATAACAGATATTGAAAGAGTTTTCCTCTCAGCTATGTAGTTATCTAGTATCTGGTTGGCTGACTTTCATTAGAAGGTGTAACATTTTGATGGTTTTTGCTGTCAAGCCAAGTTGATTGGCTTCCTTAACTAGAATTGAGACACGTTTGAGGCTAGGGCTCCAGTTCTTTTTGAAGTGAGAGAGATTTATTTTATTCTAATCTGCAGTTTGTGAATTACACCCTGCATCTGGCCCAATGGTCTAAACTTCCAGACCAAGACTTAGCTTTTACATTCCTTCAGACCTTTGTTAGCACAGGCATGCTCTAGAGAAAGCTCTGCCATTTAGAGGCTATTTACACCTCCAGGTTATTATAATTATTCTTTGTCTAGAAGAAAGTTGACATCATTATCCTGGCTTCTTTCAGATCTGCAGGATCAGGATAGAGTGCATAAACCAAAAACTACCCAAGGAGTCCTTTAGCTGAGTGTTTGTTATATCATCACTACTATGGGACTGGGTAAGGAATCAAGCTAAAATAAAAATATTTGCATATAGCCAAGTTATTTGACTTGTGAGCAAATAGCCCTCACTTATTGTTGCTACCATTCATTTCTGCCTCAGTAAGCGAATGGTATACTTGACTGCTTTGGTTTAATTAACCCCAACAATATTATTTGATTAGAATGCATATCAATTACAAAGTAAAAATTCAAATTTTATAAAGATGCTAAATTTAATAAAGTCTAGGAAAGTATTCTTGGAGACCTGCTAAAATCCCACCCAAGGCCACTGAGAAGAATGGTTCCAGAAAAGCTGGACCAGTTAACAAGAAAATGACCAAGGATAATGGCACAAAAGATATGTCAAATGAAATAATTTTGATATCCAAGGTTAAAGGCAAACACCAAGGAAACCTGCTAGGACCACATTTCTATAAGTGCCCACATTTTTACCAAAGTGATGCAAACCTGCTTAGTGATCATTCTGAAAACATAAATAAGAGATAAAAGATATTTCATGCTAACATACAATGCTGTTTGAAAAATTAAGCTCCACAAACCAAAACCAATTATTCATTTATTTTTTTGAGGTCTGAGGCATATTTAAGTTATAAAACAATGTTAGTTAAATTAAAATGTATATTTTTCATTTTATTTCTTCATTTTGTTTTTCTTCATTTTATTTTTCCAATTAAGTTATCAGTTGAACATTTCTTCCCTATTTATGGTACATTTTGGTTGCTATTTTAAACAAACTTATTTTTGTGGTCATATTTTAGTGTCATTTAGTGCCATTTATCATATATTTAGTGTCATTTATCCTCAGGGCCCCTTAAGACAAAGTTTTGTTTTGTTTTTAGCAGTATAAATTATCTTTGAAAGCCTATGGCATACATTGTTATTTATCAAAAATTAAACTGAAGGTAAGAATGCAAGACCCATAAAAGCAGGAACCCTTTGTGTCTCATTTACCATGTCATTCTATGGAGCTGTGTTGGTGCCTGGCACAAAGGAAATCTTGATAATAATCAGTGACTAATCAATGTTTGTATAATCAATAAATGAGAAGTGCCAGATTCTTTCTACAGCCACTTAGGAAATAGGAAATAAGTGATGCTATTAATAACACTAATTATGGTGAAAACAAAGCTAGTTAGACATAAAACACAATGGTTTAATGTGACTTATTCAAGTAAAGTAACCTCTAATATATGGAAATATTATTGCCATAAAAATCATAGAAAATTGTAAAAATGTAATTGCTTGATTACAGTGATTTTCACATGAATCACTGCTGATAGAGAAAAAGTTATTGTCCGTTTCCTAAATAATCATGTTTGCTTTAACCACTAAATATTACCATGAGTCCTGAGTTGAATATAAAATCGATTCTAGCTGCATACAACCTTCTCCTACGTTCCTATCTTCATCTAGGATCTCCACTCCCAAGTAATGGACTATGAAATAACTAGATAACTGGCAGTTAATTTAACAATTTTAAATGAATGAAGAACATTTTAAATTCATGCTTTATCACAGTAGTTGGTGAAATTTTTAAACAAAGAACATGGTAGTAAATATTTTAGTCATTTTAGGCCAAGAGGCAAAATTGCAGATATTAATAATACGTAGGTACTCACACTAAAAGAAAGAAAGCAATTTTTTACAAAATTCTCATGGACAAAATTCAAACTATAACAACAATTGAATCTTTTTTTTTAAATAAAGGTCTACTAATGAGGAGACCAGAATTCTTTTTTGGGGGGAAGGGCTTTTTTCTTAATTGAGCTTTGCCTTTAATGTTCCCTTTCATCAAAATCAATTGCAAATGTTCTTCTATTAATGAAGACTTGTAGTGATATTTTATGTATTTCGTCTTTAAAAATATGCAGAGAAGTATTTTCAAATACGTTTAGCAGGTCACAACCATATTATTTTAATTGAGCATATTCATCACTTACATGTCATTACAGAATTCTATTAGACACTTCTCCATAGTTGTCTTTTTCTAGGTCAATACATTGCAGATTAATTACTTCCAATTGAAGCTTAAACTGGAAGACCCTCAACTGAACAGTGAAAGGGAATTTGAAATATGAGAATTTACTCTGGATTTGTATCAATGTCCTAAAATATTGCTGAGTCTGTAGAATGCACTCAGAAAATATATCCACTGCAAATCTGCATGGGAATGGAGATTCCACTTCTTGTTTTAACTTCTGATAGGACAAGAAGTTTATAAAGCAATTTGCTATTACTTGTGATTCAAACAGTAGTGGTCATCATCAAAATAACTTTACCACAACATAAGCTTTGCGTAGAAGTACTGTTTAATCTTGTAATTTCAGATTGAATTCAATAAGAAACATTGCCAATTCTGCAGCAAAAGCTAATTTCCAAAACCATTGAGTGTTTACTGTTAGTGTTTGAGGGCAGTTCTTATTCAGAAAGAAATTAATCTTAGCACTTATCTGAAAAAACTTGTAATAAAACTTTACCAGGAAGCCATCAAACAGCTATGTGGTAAGACAACTCATTATATTCAGATTCTATTCTGACAAAATGTCACAGTAATGAACATGGTTAATTGA